TAAAGGTTTAGCACAATTATTTAATGATTCCTCCCTTATCCTCTCATTGGAGGAAGTTTGGCATCAATATCAGGATATGGTTTTTGATGACACACTACTTATATGTACTCACTTTGTAGCTTGGTATATCACTGTAGTTTGAAAGTATCACTGCAACATTCTTTCATACTTTATACTGTGAATCTCCTCTCCTGCCCTCATTTGCTGACCTCTTCTGATCAGCATCCCATCAGCATGTCATAATGATGCCTCTGAGAACAATAAAATGCAACCCAGAGAGCTGCTTATTCCACCGCTACTCTCCTCCCTTCCCCAGATTGAAGAGCTGTCTAACTTCTTTCTCTTCATCCCTGGGTTTCTTTTTCCTCCAGTTAGAGTATCTGTTGCTTGCTGCCCCCATCACTCTTCTTAACTGTCACAAGTTCGGATGTTCTCATTACTGGCATCTGTTGGTCCCTTCCCTTTCCTTTTTTTCACTTTTCTTTGTTCTAGTTTCTTTGGTCACTTGTCACTTCTTCCTGCTTTTCAGCACAGAAAGGCTGACCTTTATAGTCAACACCAGTCAATCAGAGAATTCCTTTTCTTTTGTTCAGGTAACTCACCAATCACAGCATATCAAGTATGACCTTCAAGTCTTCAGCTCTTGTCAGCTGTTAGGTATTTCTTGGCCCTCAAGAGGTGCTTCTTTACCTACAAAGGGATTTGGGAGATATGTCTTAACACTTTCTCATTTCCCATTCCTACTTCTGGGGCAAGAGCTATCCCAGAAACTTGAAGGTGCTGAGAATTGTATTTCAGATAACTGAACTTTGATTGTACTTTACTTCTGTATTGAAATGGAATTTCTGCCAAGAACAGAATTAATAACAGCAAGCAGTTATGCATGTCTTTGAGGTTAACAAAGCACTTTATAAGGTGTCTCATTAGATCCTCATTACAACTCTGTGCAGTAGATGTTGTGACTATTCTCTGTATAGAAGAGGAAGCTGAGGCTGACATGGCACTGGGGTTAGCCCATTGAACCTGGAGTCTGGAAGAACTGATATCACACTCATCCTCAGACACTTTCTAACTGTGTGACCCTAGACAAGTCACTTACTGCCTGTCTGCTTTAGTTTTTCTCATCTGCAAAATGGGGATAATAATAGCACCTTGATTTCTTGTGAGGATAAAATGAGATAATAACTATAAAAATACTTTGCAAACCTTCAGTCACAATATTAATGAGAATGATGATGATGATGATGATGATGATGATGATGATGATGATGATGAAGATGTTGATGGTAGTGGTGGTATAAATTGCTTAGAGACAGACAACTAGGAGGTATTTTAGGCAGGATTCCAACTCAGGTTTTCCTGACTTCAAATTCAACTATGCCACCTAAATGAAATAAGCAATATCTCACTTATTCAGAGGTGACATCTTCCACAACTTCATCTCTCTAAAAGATAAACTAGAATCTGAAAGGAAGCAATGGAGGCCTCTGAGAGGCTATAATAGCTGTCACTAACATATGAACTAAATTCATGTAATTTGCTCACATCAGAGCTTCTCAGACCCTCATTCACAGCCTGTTAACTTTTATTTTCATGAAATTCTAGCAAGTTTTTATATTGCTTCCTAGTATGCAGCAGATTAGAAACAAGAAATTAAAATTCGAACTGGGAAGATTCAGCAACATAAAGGGACAACAGCTGATAATTTGACAGGAATTCGACAAATTTAAATCAACTCAGAATTTTAAGGTTTTATTAATGTTGGCGTCACTGTGCTAGGTGCTGGTAATAGTGACAAAATAAAATAATTCCTGACCACAAGAAGCTTGCATTCTACATAGAAAGACTCTATTTAAAATTAAACAAAAGATACTCAAAACCTATAGAGACCTTGGTCTATTAAAGGTAGGGATGAAAAGTTCTGAGATACTTCCAGAGTAAGGCAAAATAAAGTTGCTGACATTCATGGCGAGTAGTATGAAACAACAAAGAAATATCAATTTTTATTTAATATGTATGATTTAAGAAGTCAGAGAAGTAGGTAGTATATTTTAGGAATTTGCCATCCATAAAGGTTAAACTAAAATGAGTTATGATATTTAAAATAATAAACTTTTGTTATCTGGAAAATTGACTTTGTAAAATGGAGAATGAGATGATTACTGTAGTTCAGAGAGCATTTCAAGCATTCTCTGATTCAAATTCAGTACATCTATCAGACATTTATCTCTATTATGAAGTTGGGAAGTCAAAGGTCAGAAAAACTGAGTCATTTATCCCAGGTATTGTTGCTTATTCTACTACTGTGTCCCTTTAATACTATCTCACCATGGAAATTTGCCAACTCTGTTGTTTATGAGGCAGACATTTCTTTAGCTCTTCCTATATCTCTGTTCAACATTTTATTGTTCAGATGTTTCAGTCATATCTGACTCTTCATGACTCCATTTGGGGTTTCCTTATCAAAGACGCTGGAGTGGTTCGTCATTTCCTTCTCCAGTTCATTTGACAGATGAGGAACTGAGACAAACAGGGTTAAGTGACATGTCCGAGGCCAGATTTGAATTCAGAAAGGTGAGTCTTCCTCACATCAAGCAGGGAGACTCTATCCACTGTGCCACCTAGCTGCCCTAGCTTAGAGTTAGCCTAAATTCAATGGCTGAATGAGCAAAAGTATACTCCCAGGCAATAGAAATGCTCAATCACATTTCAGCTATGTACTAGAGCAACTTACTACTTGAATAAGGGATAAAACCTTCTGTAATGTTAAGCCTCCTTAGACTCTTGGGATACTAGAAATATGAAAGACATCTATTTCAACTATTTTAAAAATGAAGAAACTGAAGCCCCTGGTGATCTGAATATCATTGCCCACCTTTGTGTGTTTTATTAATTTTTTATATTAGAGTTTCTTAAAGTGGGTCATATTTCTCAGTCAGTCAACAAATATTATTTAACACTTACTATATGCCAGGCACAGGTCAGGAGATATAAAGCAAGGCAGAACCATCACTACCTTCAAGGAGGTTACATTTAAGCGGGAAAGACGACATATAAATCACTAGACACAAAATGAGATGCATAAAGAGTTAATGGAAGATCATCTAAAAGGAGGAGGTTGCCTGCAGATGGTGGGCTTTGAACTGAGTCTTTTGGAAGCCAGGGAAACTAAGAAACAGAAGTGAAGGAGCAGGCATGCAGGGGAAAGATGATTGAAAAGCTAAGGTGGGGAGTGGTATATCATGTCCAAGGAAAACCTGGTAGGCCACTGTAGGTAGACTGTGGAGTGCATGATGGAGAGCAAAGTCGAAGAAGACTAGAACTCTTTAGAAAGTGGCCAGGTTTTGAAGAGCTTTAAATACCAAACAGAGAAGTCTATATTTTATTCTAGACACAAAAAATAGGGAACCATGGGAGCTTGTGGAACAAGGGACTGAAATGATGAAACCTATACTTTAGAAGACTCACATTGGTAGTTGAATAAAGGATGGATTGGAGTAGAGAGAGTTCCAGACCTGACTATTGGCAGTTAGCTAGCATAGTCCCATGGGTGGCTCAATGGTCACTGAACCTGGAGTCAAGAAGACTTGAGTTCCAATCCAGCCTCAGACACTTCCTAGCTATGTAACCATGAGCAAATCATTTCTGTGTGCCTCAGTTTCCTCAACTGTTAAGTGGGGATGGTAATAGCACCTACCTCCCAGAGTTATTGTGAGGTTAAAAAATTTTTTAAATGCTTAGCATAATGCCTGAAAATAGTAGGTGTTTCATAAATGCTTCTTTCCCCTTCCTTTGCTCCCCAAGGAGACTGGTAAGAAGGTAGTTGCCTTCTAAGGGAGAGGTGATGAGTGCCTGAACTATGGTAGTTAACGTATGAGTGTAGAGAAAGAAATGTGTGTGAGAGATGTTGGAAAGGTAGAAATGACAAAACTTGGCAATAGATCAGCTATGAGGAGTGAAAGTGTGGAGTAAATGATGATATCAGGGTTGAAGTCTGAAATTGGAGGATGGTGGTGCTCTTGACAATAATAAAATAGTTAAGGAGAGAACAAAGATAATGAGTTTTGTTTGGGATGTGTTGAATTTGAAAAGCTTGCTAGTTATCTGTTTCAAGATGTCCAGAAGATAGTTGGGGATGGCTGATTATTATAGCTCAGGAGAGAGACTAGGGCTTGTACTTTCTACTCCCCAGGAGTGTAGCAAGGAAAACAATTTTTCAACCTTAAAGTATTACATATGTTTAATTTGTTATATTTGCATGTATTTTTTTTGGTTCTATCTTAAATTTACTTATGAGTGAACATGTAACCCCCAATGGAATTTAAGTTCCTTGAAGTTCCTTGAACAGAGGCTGTCTCATTTTTTGTATTTATGTTCCCAGCACCTAGTATCTGGAACACAGCAAATATTGAATAAATATTTGTTTATGGATTACATATTAATTAAATGTTTTTCCCATTAAGCGTTGAAGTTTTCTACTATCTCCACTAAACATTAACTCAAATCTTATAGCAATGGATTATTTGGTGATTGAAGAATACACCAGCAGTGTTCAGTTTCTAGATCCTGCCAGACTGAAAAGGTTTTGTTGGTGTAGTACTTATACTGACAAAAATCACAGATCTTTAAAGCATTGAAATATGTAAATGAAATGTCTTGCTGGATTTTCACAGCAAATCCTACAAAGTATTCTGTTGCCAAATTCTCATTTTATGCAAAATTGTTTTTGTTTGCAATTTCTGCCTTTAATTAACAGTGATATGTTGATGTGATGTATTATTGGCATGATTTCAGGTATGTATCATTAGGTCTACAGAAAATTAGTTGCATTGGTAAGAAATATCCTCCCATCAATTAGAACCCTTTTCTTAACATCCATTTTGAGAACATGTTCATATAATATTCTGAAACTGAACATCTGCTTTTCACATTTGAAAGTTTGAATTTCTGATCGTAACAATAATATGTCAACGTGATATCATATCTTTTCTATTTAAAAGCATCTAAGTCAAGATCTGGAAGAGTCTTCATGCTCCTCAGCCCCCAAAAAATTTAACCGAGAGCAGTTCTACAAATTTATCATTTTTCCTGGCAAGTGGATTAAAGTCTGGTATGATCGACTTACCTTGTTGGCACTGCTGGATCGGTAAGCCTGTACATCACTAAGATGTACAACAGAAGTACCTGATGAGTGGTGTACAGCTGTATCTCACTTAAAAGAAAAGTACAAGATGCTTCTGGGAACCCCAGGAATGTTCAAAAACGATATGCCTCCATTGCTAGAAACTCAAAACCTAGGCAAAAGGATCATTAAAATTTAAGAAATCATGTATTTAGTAATTAGTGCAGGATATTTGGCAATAGAACTTTCTAGAATCAATTTGGGCAGTGTGGTTTGGTCTGTCAATGATATTCTACAGTACTTTCTGATCAGAAAGAATCTTGCACACCTTTTTGGCTTCAGGTTCCCCATCTGCAAATAGAGGGCAAAGGACTTTGAGTGGTCTGAAGAAAGGCACTCTGTAAATCAGTCAGATTGTGAGGTTTTCCCCTTGATTTTTCTAAGCATTTTCTAGAGCAGCCTTCTGCTTCATGCAATTAATTCTAGGTTCAGCTTCTGAGTCTGTGATATCTTTGATCTATTTCATCCTTGAAGAGAGGTTTGAATATTTTTTGCAAAAATGTTTGGCAACCCAGCAGCATCATAGTAAAGAGAAGTGCTTGACATGGGGAGTGTGAAGAAGGGACCTGGGGACAAAGGAAAGTGTTATGCCATTTTTTGGTGGAGAGGGAAGAGCCTTAAATTTGCTGTCTCACTTTTGAGAAGATGAAATGACTAAAATTTTCCTTTGACCTATTTCTCATTGGTTCATTGCTTTTTTCCTTCCTTGAACCTAAAGACCAAAATGGGAGGTAGATAGGCAGTTGACAAACTGGAAAAACAAACTCAAGTTGTCTTGTATGCATATAGTTGTTTACATATTGTCTTTCCTCTTAATTTTACTTTTAATTTACACTGTATATATCTTATACATACAACATGTTGAATATTATCTCCCTTATTAGAATATGAACTCCTTAGGGACAGAGAGCATAGTTTACCTGTTGGGTTTTTTTTAGTGGGAGGAGTGGGGATTAGCATAGTTTTTGGCATATAGTTAGCATTTAATAAATACTTCTTGATGACAGTGAAGAAGAGAGGAGGGGAGAAAAGGAAGAGAAGGGGGAGGGGAAAGAAGGAGAAGGAGAAAAATGAGGAAGATCAATAAGAAGAAAAGGAGGAAGAGGAAGAAGAGGAGGAGCAGGAGGAGAATTGACAGCAACAACAATCTTTTCATCTTTATTTTCCACATTTTCAGAAAGAAGGCAAAGGGCTTTGAGTGGTCTGGACAAAGGTATTCTGTAAATCAACCAGACGGTGAGGTTTCCCCTTGACTTTCCTGAGGATTTGCTAGATTACCCTTTGGCTCCTCATGTACTTCCAGGTTCAGTTTGTGATAATGGTGGTGGTAATTTAAGGTAGAGATGGAAACATTCTAGTGTCTCAGTTAGTTTTCTTCTCCACATCAAAGGATAGAAAAGATAGCAATACGAATGTAAAGGTAACTGTTGTGGGTGAATTGATTTCCTGATTATAATACTGTTTTGCAAATACATGATGCTATTACTAAACCTATCCAGGAAAATGCTAAGATTTCTTAGTTAAATACCAACCAGGAGGCAATGCAGCAAAGGCTGAATGCTTGTTCAGTTGTATCATGTCCCCCCAGTGACTACTCTTTTCAGTAGTCTTTAATTGTGAGATCACATACTTAAAAAAAAAGTACTACAAAATTAGGATTGTAAATATCAGTACTGAAATGTCAGAAAATAGAATGGTAATGGTCCTCTTAGCAATACCAAGTTTCCCAAGGGATACTCACTTAAAATGAATGTTTAACACTTAACTAATAATCCAAGATAATACATTATCCTTGAACATTCCATGTAAGCATGTGATGTTCATTCAATATTAATTTTGAGTTTTTCAATATTCGCATAACCAGCCTTAATCTTTCATCTATATAGACATTTTTATGTGTTTTCTAAGTTCATTTAAAAATTCACAAAGCCAAAAGGACACATTTTGCTCAGAAATTTAAAACATAAAACCTGAGTTTGTTAAAAATAAAAACTTTATAAAGGAGAATGTTTACTGTTGTTAACCTTCATAGCTTTAGTCAATGTAGTATAGTGGAAAGAATGCTAGTATTTTTTGAGACAGTCAAGTGAAGAAGCGTTTTATTAAGTGCCTAGTACTTGCCAGGCACTGGGCTAAAGAACTGGGAATATGAAGAAAGGCAAAACACAGTCCCTGCTTTTAAGATGTTTATAATTTAATGGGACATATAACATGTAAACAACTATAGATAAATAAGATATGCATGTAGAACTGGAGCTACTTCCCAATACCCACTTGAATTGGCAGGCTAGGTCCACAGAGAGAAGTTGACTGCTCCCTTTGGGATTATTATCATGAGCCTGCAATAGTATGTTCCTCATTAATTACAACTCACTCAGACTTAGCTTTCAGAAAAGGATATTAATTGAGATAGTATAGTAAGACTATTGGTACAAAAACATTTCCCCCCACCCCAGAAAAAAAAAGCAACCTGTGATGCACTTTTCCACAAGTGCATATGTAATCCAGGGGAAAGAGCTCATGGCTTAAAGAACCTATGTGACCACAGTGTTAACTCACAGCTACAGCTTTGAGAAGGCCTTTTATCTATGCTAGTAATCCTCCTGAGTTATAATGTAACTCTCTGCTGGTCCCTGAGAATCAAGACATTTGTATATAGTCTGGAAACTGCCAGTCTTTCTGCCCCAAAAAGATAAATCATGCTAACTGAAGCTGTTTTTCCTCAATGTGTCCAGTTTATTCTCTATGAAGTACCAGCTGGGATACATTGTTATTGGTCTGGGCTCTTCAAGATGTTCCTAATGTTTTAAAGGAGAAGGAGGGGTGTGAGAAATGGGACACTTCCTCTGTCTCTCACACTTCGCTGACTCTGCTACAGGCTCAAAGGGTCTGCCTTCTCCAAATACTTCTAAAGCAGGCTTCTTTTAGAATCTCCTTCATGGATATACAGAGGTCCAGAAGTCTAATTATTTCAACCAGTTCTAATGCATTTGGTCATCTGATATCATCCAATAGGTGGAAGCACTTTACTCCTTCCCAACTGGTTAAAAATTGATTCAAACTTAGATTGCACTTTTGGTGGATTAATAGATCTATCTAGGAATTATTCATGCCATTGTATGTATTTGATTGCTTGATTCAATAACTCAAAGAGATTTTCTTAACCTGATAAGCTTAAAGTATCTTGTTAACTACATTTAATTGGGAGTGATATAAACATATACGTATTTACATATACACACATACATATGTGCATACACATGTATATGTATGTATATTTGTGTGTGTAGAGTTGTCCCAGACATTATATGTGTGTACGTGTGTTTGTATGTATATTACATGTGATTTAATCAATGTAGGGGGTTCCAAAGCAGTCCATCCTTGGTCAGGAGGACATGGTACAATGGGAAAAGCTCTATATTCAGAGAACCTGGGTTCAAATCCTGTCTCTGATACTTGCTTCCTGTGTAACCTTGGGAAAGTCATTTAAGTTCCCTGGGCCTCCGTTTTTTTTTTTCATGTAAAACAAAGGGTTTGGATGAGGTGGCCTCTGAGATCCCTTCCAGTTCTAGATTTATGATCCTTTGACCTGGGATCAAGTCCTACTTCCAATCTATGTTGGCTGTAGGACCATGAGTGAATTAATTCTCCTCTAAGTTTCTTTCTTTTTTTTTTTTTAATTAATTTTGGAGGCAATTTAAGTTGTGGCTTGCCTAGGGTCACAAAGCTATTAGGTGGCAAGTGTTTGAGGTTAGATTTGAACTCAAGTCCTCCTGATTCTATCCACTGCACTACCTAGCTGCCCCATCCTCTAAGTTTCTAAGGAAACTTTAAGGCTACATTACATGCAAGTTACCTATGAGAAGTTTCCCACACTGATGAGAACTATTTATAGAAACCAATTAAACTATAGGCAGCTCACCTATAGATGATAGTTTTAGCTGCCTGGGGTACTAAGAAGTTAAGTTAGTGATCCAGAATCACATAGTAAATGTGTGAGACCAAATTTGAACTCAGGTCATCCTGACTCCAAGGCTAACAGTCCCTCCATGATGTCTGTTCTCTCTCCCTCTCCCTCTGTCTCTGTCTCTGTCTTTCTCTGTCTGTCTCTCTGTCTCTCCCTGTCTTTCTTTGTCTGTCTCTGTCTTTCGGTCTGTTTCTGTCTGTCTCTGTCTGTCTGTCTGTCTGTCTGTCTCTCTCTCTCTCTCTCTCTTCAAAGAGACTAAAATTTTTGGCCAATTATAAGGCAGCTACATGGTGCAGTGGAGAGAGTGCTGGGCCTGGAATCAGAAAGACCTGAGTTCAAATCCAGCTCAGACACTTAATTTGCTGTGTGACTCCAGGCAAGTCACTTAGCTCTGTCAGGCTTGATTTCTTCATCTTGTAAAATGGTGATAGTAGCACCTACCTCTCAGAGTTGTTATCAAGATCAAATAAGACAACCATAAAGTGTTTAGCACACAGTGCCTGCCACCTAATAGGGCATAGCTTCACAAATGCTTATTCTTTTACAGAGCTCAAAATTTTATTTAAAGGGTAATAAATTTTGACTATCGATCTCATCAGAAACATAGAGTTTTTCTCTATTTAATAGAGAGAGTCTTAACATTCCCCCTTATTTTTATCTTTCCATAGAACTGAGGACATTAAGGAAAATGTATTTGCTGTTTTACTCATCATTCTGGTCTCTCTGCTTGGATTTCTAACACTGAACCAAGGCTTCTGCAAAGACATATGGCTCCTGCTCTTCTGCCTCGTTATGGCCAGTTGCCAGTATTCCCTTTTAAAGGCAAGACCAAAGCTATTTCTTATCAGGCCAATGTACTTGTGCATATATGTAATTTAAAACATCAAATGATCTCACTGACACCTCTGATTTGTGTTTTAGAGTGTTCAGCCTGACCCTGCCTCACCAATACATGTAAGTGTCAGAACACAGGCAAGTAATTTGTCTTGTCCATTTGTACAGAGGACAAAAATGAAAAATATTCACCTTGTAGAATGTGATTATGTCAAAAGACATTGATGATGTCAAATAAAAGGGGACCCCCTCCCTGGGAAATGCTCAGCCTCTTTTAGTCATTCACCAGCTATTTGCTGAGTCTGCTATATACAGAGCTTTGTTCCTTTGGAAAATGGATAGATGGATGAATGGATGGATGGATGGATGAATGAATCTTTATTCTTTGCCCTTCACATTTAACTGCCCAAACAGCTTCCCATGTTTTCCTGCTTGCCCAAGTGAAAGTGACAATGACTTGGGGACAAAAGGAGATTCATTCATATTCCCATACCTCATCTGGCAGAAGGTTCTCCATACTGTAAACATATTTATGAGGCCAATGAGAGTCCTGCACATGGAGAAGGATGAACTTATAACAGCCTTCCTGGGCTTCACCATCACCATTTCCTGGTGCTACCATAAGACAAATTATATGGAGAGAAGATAGTATCTTCTGTCTCTGCTATACAAACAGAAAAATGCCAGTCCAAATTATGTGGGTCTCCCCCTTGTTATTACTACTTTTGAGCCTATTGTTGCACTTTCAGTCTAGTAATTATTTGATATTATATTTGTATATTATATATAGTATATTATAATTATTATATAGCACTATAAAGTACTATACAAAAACATATAATAATATGATGGCATATTAATTATAAGAAATCGATGATGATAACAGTGACCTACATTTTGCAGTTTTCATGGCACTTTCAAGCTTGTCTCATTTGATCCTCACAATAATCCTCTGAGGTAGTTGTTACTGTACCCATTTTATAGATAATAATGGAGCTACCTAAGCTCAATCACATAGAACTAAAGCCATGCTAATTTCTTTAAGCTAAAATGGTTTCCTTTAATTATGTTGTCTTTTTGTTTTTATCAGACATCTTATAGTATGTGCTATGGAATATAGCCTGTCATATTCCCAACCCAGCTAGCTCACTGTCCAAATGCCTTTGAGCCAGGCAGATAGGCAGTTCAAAACCTCTATTATTTAAACAACCTTTTTTCCCCCTTTGTTATCTTGCATTCCCATGAGCCCATGAAATAACTATCCTAAATTAAAGCATGACCCACTCTCTATTCTGGTTTTAAAATTCATCACCAGGATTTAGAATTGATTTTAAATATGCTATAACTAATGTTTCTCTCATTGTAATTAAGGAAAGCATATGATTGGATGATCACATGACATATGTTTCCTTCTTGTTAAATTCATCTGCTCTCTGTAATTGGTTTACATATAATACAACTCCTTTTATCCTAGAGACTGAATGTCAAGACAAGCAGAAGAAGCATAATTAGGGTCTTAAGAATGGATTGTTGTGGTTATCAGTAGAAATCTGGTGAGGTAGAAATGGGTAGAGAAATGCATTTCTGAAATTCATCACTCAAGCCAACTGTAAGTCCCAAATTATCCATTATCCTGCCTCAGTGAATTCTCATTTCTGGAAAGATCACACTGGAGTTAGTGTCACCTCTAGGCATGACTTGAGGGAAGGGATTTAATATGTGAAAGAATGATTTAGTAACAAACATTCCTTTCCTGAATACACTACTTGTTTCTTAAAATTAATTTTGAATCTTTTTTTAAATTTTATTTATCCTTTAAAATATAACTTTCATTTTCCAATATGTCTCTCCCATCCCCTAGCCAGAGAATCATCCCTTAATACAAAGAATATTTAAAATGAAAAGGAGAAAAAATTGTTTCAACAAAACTGGCTCACCAGCCAAGCCCAGTATTACATATAGGGCTTCATATCCATATTCACCCACCTCTGAGAAAAAGGGGCTGGGAGATATACACTCAGTATAATGATTCTAATAGCAATGGTTTATTACATCAAAGAAAGTATTGGGGGGCAGCTAGGTTGCGCAGTGGATAGGGCACCGGCCCTGAAGTCAGGAGCACCTGAGTTCAAATCCTCGGACCAAAACACTTGAGGCTTACTAGCTATGTGACCTTGGGCAAGTCACTTAACCCCAATTGCCTAAAAAAAACCAAAACAAAACAAACAAAAAGAAAGTATTGGTATAAATGAATAACTAGTGTACTTAATGCTCCTTGATAGGTTTGTAATATACCTACTTCTGTTACTACTCCTTTGAGATGGAATTAATTATACCCATTCTTAAATCACGTTAGGCTACTATTGCCCTTTTTCTGTAAGTTGATGGGCAGAAGGAAAGAAATGAAGCCCTCCTTGACATGTCATCTTGCATATCTAAAATGATACACTTTTGAGTAGAGTAATTAATTTGCTTTGTACTTAGTTCTCAGTAGATTGATTAGTCAGTGACCTGAGTTACTAGTTCTTTTTTAATTCTTGCCAGAAAATGGTAGTTCCATGAAAGGTATTTCCTTTTTATAATCTGAAGAAATAAGCACATTATAAAGATGAACTGATCAATTCTCAGTAAACTAATAGGCAGACATTAGAAGGCAGAATCTACTGTCACCATTTTAGAGGGCAGGAAACTCAGGCAGAGAGTATTCAAGTGACCCAAGTTGAATTGGAAGAGGAGCTGGGTAAATCATGATCCTTTTGATTAATAGGATGACAGATTTAGAGCTAGAATGGACCTTAGAGGTCATTGAGCTCCAATTTGCCAAAGTTCACCCCTGCTACTAAAGGTCTAAGGCAGAATTCAAACCCCATCTCTCCCACCTCTATTCCATTCAGTATGCTACACTGGCCTCTCTTCTCTCACATGGCATGTAAAATGAACCTGGTTTGGCTTTTTATTCTTTTTTTTCTTTTTCTGACACTGTTTAATTGCATGGGAACCAGTTGAATCAGCCTTTATTTTCCTTTGGATGATTGATTTTCTTTCCTCACTGGTTCTTTTCAGGAGGCTGGTTGGAAACAGATGAACAAAATCTTAAAAACAGAAAACAAAAGGAAAATAAAAATGAATTTGTAGTGGACCATTTGTTATATTCCAGATTTTTTTTCATTAAACTTAGAATCAATTAGAGACATACTAATAGGCTTAGTACTAAACAAAAAGGGGAAAAAATCTGAAGACATTCCAGACTTATAGGAAATCAGGCTAAGAGCTCAGTTTTTGTTGTTATTGTTTAATTTTAATATTTTATTTTTTTCTAATTACATGTACAATTTTTTAAACTTTTATTTTTTTTAATTTTTAATTCCAAATTTCCTCCCCCTTCATTGAGAAGGCTAGCAATTTGATAAAGATTATACCTGTGCAGTAATGCAAACTGTATTAATCATGTTGTGAAAGAAAACACAAACAAAAAAGAAACAAAAATAAAGTTTAAAAACTGTATGTTTCAATATGCATTCAGATTCCATCAGTTTTTCTTCTGGAGGTGGATAGCATTTTTCATCATAGGTCCTTCAGAATTGTCTTGGATCTTTGTATTGCTACGAATAGCTGTCGTTCACAATTGATCATTATATAATATTGCTGGTACTGTGTACAGTGGTTTTCTGGTTCTGCTCACTTCACTTTGCATCAGTTCATGTAAGTCTTCCCAGGTTTTTCTGAAAGCATTCTGCTCATCCTTTTTATAGCGCAATAGTATTTCATCATAATCATAGGCCACAACTTGTTCATCCATTCCCCAATTTATGAATATCCCCTCAATTTCCAATTCTTTGCCACCACAAAAAAAGAACTCGGAGTTCTAATGTAGAAATCCAAGCATGGTCCAATGCTAATGGCCAACATGAATAGTTCCACTATACCCTTAATCATGAATAATCTTATATTAGGCTCTCTAATCAAAGTTCAATTGACCTAATCCACATGGGCAACATTTACCAGAGAGGAAAAAAAAAATGTGAATTCCCTCTTGCACACTTCAAGCAAAGAAATCCTATAGATATAAATGCATAGGTCTGGTGTGTCTTGCTTGTCTATACTGTAAATTTCTAGAGGGTAGGGGGTCATCTTTTCTATGTTCTATTTAGTTCTGCAACACCTAGTAGAGAAATTCAGTAAATGCTAATCAGATAAAATACAAATTCCTTCTAGCCCAGTCATTTTCTATCTGATTATAAAAAAAATTTCCTTGAAAGCTCACCTTTCTTATTACTATCTTATGATCAACTCCAAAAAACAGTTCATCTGCCAATTCCATGCCTTTGTCTCAAAGGCTATGAATCATGAGGACCACTGCTTCAAAGTGTGACACAGTGGATCTCTTCATCCTAGGACTAAGGAGCACTTACAGCTAGGTGATCTCCCTTTAGAACTCATCTGGTTGTTTCAGTGGTCTTATGTATTTTCTTTTTTAAAAGCATTATTTATAAACTCATAGATTCAGAGCTGGAAGGAACCTCAGAGGTGATCTGGTCTGATCCCTTCATTTTACAGTTAGAGCAAGATCAAACCCAGAGAGATGAAGTCAGGTGGCCAAGCTCACATGAGTAGTAGTAATAACAATTGCTAACATTTATGTACTGCATTAGGATTTGTGGAACACTTTGAAACATTGTCATTTTATTCTCATAATAATTCTGAGAGTTAGATGCTAGTATTATCCTCCTTCTACAGATGAGGAACTGAAGCTGAAAGTGGTTAAATTACTTGCTCAATGTCACGCAGCCAATTAGTGCCTGAGGCTAGATTTGAACTCAGGTCTTCCTGATTCCAGTTCCAGCATTCTACCTGTTGTGCTACCTAACTAAGCTAGGGCTCAGGTCCCCTGGCTATGAAACCAACCCTCTTGCCACATTCAACCAATGTTCAAACAGTATGGTTTTGCATCTACTGACTCTCATAGATACCTTCTTCCATGCATGCTCCAGCTTGTTATTTATTTATCCCAGTCCTGCCAGTAACTAGCTTCAGGACCTGGGTCCAAACAGTTTTCCTTCCTGAGCCCCAGTTTGCTTATCTGTACAAATAAAATGCCATTATTTAGATTTTGTATGCTAGGAGTTGTTTTGAGGAAAGTGCTTTTGGTATTGTAAAGTGCCTTACAAATAGGAGATATTCCTAAGCTAGAGACAATCTCCATAATGATAATGGAAGTCAGTAATTTGAAGATAACCTGTTGCTTCCCGATACAACTGATTCTTAAGTAATGCAAGATTTTCATGTCTCCTTTTCTCCACTCACATTTTCTCTACAATGGGCTGTGGCACAACTGTGTGCACACAATGTAGTGCCTGTTGGGACTTACAGAGCCAGGGGCTGTTCTTGGATACAGTACTTGAATGCAGTCAAAAACATGGACAACCCACATTCACTTCTGCTTTTAGTTGCAGAGACACTTGTCATCTGCAGAAGAAGGTACTCAATGAGAGCTCCTTATACTGTTGAAGTCTTAGGTCCCTCTTATTCCCATTCCATCTCTTTCCCCTTAGTCCTTACCACTCAGGGGAAATCAAGCCTCATGAACAGAGCAAGCCACAATAAAAGTGATTCATCAAACACAAAAGAAATTAAATGCTCAAATGGATCAGGAGAAAGTATAAAAGTAGATAATCCAGAGGAAAGTACCAAATCACAAATGTATTGGCTGTAGGTTAAAATGTCCCATAACCTGAGCATAGTCCCAAGCCAGCAACTGAGTATCAGTGACAAGGCAAACATGGTGATGGAAAGGAGATTGTGTTTCTGATGTGCTGCAGGCTTTCCAAACTCAGGGGTCTTCCTTCTTGCCAAGAATCTTCTTGGCAAAGCTTAGTATTGATTTCAGACCTGCGATGGGGAGGGAGCAGGCCAGGAGGAGGGCAGGACAGTTGTTAAAATTTTTCCAACTTGATGCAGTGTGGTCATATGTACAACTCACTCAACCTCATCATGACGCATGAAAGTTACTAAGAAAGATAACCACCTTGGCTCTCAAAGGATTCAGTCAGAAGTTGCTATTTTATTCCAGTCTTAAAAATAAAATATAAAGTTTTCCACCAGCTGACTCAACCTGCAGAAGGTCCACAGACAATAAAATAATTTATCAACCTGCTCTAAAACTTGCCCTGCATAGACTATACTATTCATCACAGGTGTGTAGAGAAGTGGCTACTGGTAAAACTTTCCCAACCAATATTTTTGCTGCGTCATGAATAAGATGTCGGTTTTAAAATCCAATATGTGGGGCAGCTAGGTGGTGCAGTGGATAGAGCACTGGCCCTGAAGTCAGGAGGACCTGAGTTCAAATCCGGCCTCAGACCAAACACTTGACACTTACTAGCTGTGAGACCCTGAGCAAGTCACTTAACCCCAATTGCCTAAAAAAAGAAACAAAAAAAAGACAAAAAAAATCCAATATGTGGGTGATGTGATAGAAAATTGGAATGCTTAAGGACTCAAATACAGAAATGAATCTGTATCTCGTTGATCTGGGAATTCCCTCCAATAGTGCAGATTGCAACCTATCCATGCTGGCCCATTCTGTGTCACTTTTGTCCGTGACCTTATGTTTGATGCATTATGATGAATATTTTTGTTACGTGCATGTTATTGAACAAAGATAGATATGAAAGAAGTTTTAAAAGCGTGAAGGAAATATTCCAATGCATTTTGAGATATCCTGATAGGCCTCTTATTCCATGGGAATTCATGAAATTCTATTGAAAAATGAAAACCAAACCCTAGAGTTTTTGTGATTCATACACATATGAAGAATGCAACTAGACAACCAAGAAACTTTATTAGTTTGTGTTATTGGGGATTGAAGAAAATAAAAGTGCCTTTTGTAATGCCCATGTATTTGGAATGGATTTATGATGGTTTGGAGATACAATGTAATATGGGAGAATGAAGTTAAAAATGAACAGGATAATGAGGTACTGTGCTAGGTAATTGAGTCTTGAATTTTTATTTCATAATTTGAAATGCATCCCCATGCTCAGTAATCTTTGGCCTGGTTGGGTTTTAAAAAAAGATATTTCAGATTAATGCTAATATAGCAGAAGTCTCAGCCTGGCTCAATGCCAAAAATTTACAACCCCCTAAGGACAGTGTATTTTTCTATCATATTAAAAGAGCCTCAGAACACGACTTTCCCCTACCACATGATGGACATTTAAATTGCATTTCCTAAATACAACTGATGGAAGAAAGAACTTAATAACTCTCCTTGCAAAGACAGAAATGTATTTGCATACACTAAGAAATTTTTTTATACTTGGATAAAAACTGTTTATATTAAATAATATTTCAGTATCATGATTTTGAGATGCAAAGGAAATATTTCCATACCCAATAATATGGGCTTGGTTGGATCAAAAATGGAATTTCGGAGTATGCTAGTAAGTTTTGGGTAGGCATAGGGCCAAAAACATCCCTAAGTATCCAACCCATATTGGCAATGTTTCTTTTCCCCCATAGTAAAAGGTAGCCTCAGAATAAAAGTATTTTAATTTCAGAGAGAGTAGCTATTTAAATTACATTTCCTAAATGTAACAGGGCCAAAGCAGTGACTTTAAAAAGATCAAATTTGAGGTCATATTGCTATCATCTTGACTAATCATGCTCAAATCATCCCAATGAATTAGAAGAATAAAATATAACCTATCTGTCCTTGAGCACACTGCCAGAAGAGTGTGTTTCTTTTAACTCTAAGTGACTTTAGGGATGCTCTTTAAACCATTCTTTGTTGGTACTTTAATTCACTGCCTGGGAGGAGTTGAATTCTTTTCTTGATTCTGCCATCAACTTGTTCAGTGACGTTGGGAAATTAATTTCACATCTGGGTCTTGGTTTTTCTATCTATTTAAGGGCAATATGACTAATTACTTCTTCTTTCCAATAACCATGTTGTGAAGGTTCAGGAGCTGATGTCTGACAAGTGTTTAGCATTCCTCAAAGAAGTGCTTGATAAATAGCTGGTCATCATTGCTGCATTAGATCATACTCACCTCGTTTAGCTGTTTAATCTATAGCAGCGTCTATCTCCATGAAATGCCAGGCATTTGAAACTTACAACTTTACAATTTCATATCTTATTAAGGGTGGAAGCAAAATGAAAACATAGAGCAAATGATGACTTAAATTATTTTCTCACTTAAGATGAACAATAAAAAAAATATCCGTGTTTTATCACAGGGAAAGTGATGTTAGAGCTAGATTTTCTCCGTGGAGGGTAATTAAATTTTCAGGACTGATTACCATGGGCTTGTTAAAGAGAAGCATGATATTATTGTTGAATTCCAGATTCATCAGAATACCAAGTATGCTTCATTGTGTTTAGGGATGTTTCCTGCAACTTTCTTTATGTGTTTTTTGACTTGTTCACTCATTCTGTACACTTTGTTATGTTGACACAACAGACATCATGTTTTCTCTTCAGAAGTTTCGTATTTATTTTCTAGGGACACAACCAAATAATTACATACAGCAGACCCATCTACTTTTGTGTTCTTTGTGGACTTATTTTGCTTCTTGACATTGCGGCCAAGGCCAGGCATCCTCCCAGTTACACTGTGTATGGCCTGAGGTTCTTCTCATCAGGGTCCCTTCAGTTAGCAAGAGATCACCTAATAGGTAAGTTGTTTATGGCTTGTGGCAATGCAGAGAATGGACTTCCTTTTAAAACTTGGTTGAAGAAATATTTTGATAAACTGTCTATAAAATTTCCTTCTGATCTTGGCTACATTTGTTTTATTTGTACAAAACCTTTTTAATTTAATGTAATTGAAATTATTCATTTTACAATTAACTCTTCTTTATCCATAAAATTTTCACTTATCCACCCATCCAATGTTCCATGTTCTTCTAATTTTCTTGTCACATCTCTTTATATCTAGGTTATGTATCCATTTTGACCTTATCTTAGTGAAAGGTATAAGATATTGGTCTATGCCCAGTTTTTGCCATACTTATTTCTAGTTTTCCCAACAATTTTTACCAATAATGAGTTCTTATCCCAAAATCTTAAAGTCTTTTCATTTGTCAAATACAAGGTTATATTTATTTGCTTCTGTAAATTGTATGTCTACTCTATTCCATTGATCTACTGTTCTTATTTCTTAGCCAATATCAGATGGTTTTGATAATTACTGCCTTATAGTTTAAGATCTGGTACTGCTAAACCTCCTTCCTTTACATTTTTTCATTATTTCCCTTGATATTCTTGACTTTTTGTTCTTCTAAATGAATGGGAAATGTTTGAAGGGAGGGAGGAATGTGAACTCACACCTTGTCTTGTATGTCACATAGATGCTTTCTTAAATCTTATATTTAAATGTTTGTTTATTGGCATGTCTGCCTTCTATATCTCTAGTCACATGCAGTGGTCACTAGCTTATAGTAGACTGGTCACACTTAACTATCGCAACTTGCCACTAAGGCTTAATTGCTTTGAAAGTGGTTAGTAAAAACTAAAACTAAACTTGGAATTTTAAGAATTTCCCACTCACTGGTCAGTCTGAAAGACTGACCCAGATAATCATGGATGGGAGATGCCACAATGAACCATATTTCAATATTGGCCAAAACTGAAAATTCAGGGATGAGGCAAAAGGAGGGCTATGGGGCTCCTCATGGGGCATCTCTCTGTATCTCATCAAATAAGATGTTGAAAAAGTACAATAGAGCAGGCATGGGAATAGATATCCTGCCAGAACCATGAGAGTATAAACTCTAGAGAGACACAGGACCTGGGCGGGGATGATGGTGTGGTAGGAGGAAGGTAGGATGTACACCAGTGGTTTGGCTTCTGGTCGTACTGCTTTCTCCAGCCTTGTTGTTTGGCATGCTACTGGGGTGTAGTGCATTATTACTATCCTTTATTCCTACATCTTCTTCCTCTCTCCTTCTAGCAGATGAGCTCTCTTAATCAGATATTGTTAGCACATCTTCCACTCATCCATTCTCACCATAAAAAGGATGAGGTTTAGAGAAGCTGTGGGTAGAGAGATAAAGAAAAATAAAATTTTGAAAAGCAAGTGATGATGCATTTGGCCATTTTTGCAACATTAACTAATGCCATGCCTTATACAAGAGAGCCTTTTCATGGAATTCAAATCTCAGTCCTGTTCCTAGGGCATACTGGCCCTCCAAGTCATGAATCCAAGTCTTGTGAGTGACCTAGTACTTGACCTTGAATAATCCATGGTAGATGGAACTTTGCCGTCATATGCCTCTAAGTAATGAACAGAAGTGTATAGGAGAACATATGTTTGTACTGTACAACTCCTGGGCAAACTTTCTGGCCTGGTATCTGCAGAACTAGAAGAAAAAGTAGGGGCAGGGAGAGAAACTTAGCAGTGACATTATTATGTTCTTCTCTTACTGTAGCAGTGTCCTGGTCAGATGGATACTGGAACGATCCCCAAACAAACCACTTTGCATTTTAATTTTTTTTCATTACATGTATTATCTCTCCTGCTAATTTGTAAATTATTTTGAGAACAGGGACTATGTTGCATCTATCACTGTAGTTCCTATAGTGCTTTGCAAATGGTGGATGCTCAACATATTTTTGTTGAATGATAAAATGTTATCTGATTTGAATTTTCTAGAGCTTACCCCATATTAGAAAAGATAAATGAAACCTCCATCTTCCCTCATCCTAAACTACATTGGCCTTTTTTTCATGGGACCAAGAATTCATATTCTTATTATTGTGCTATATTATAGTTTCCGGTTTTGTAGACTTGCTTTGGCATCCTTTTAGACTAGAATCGCCATTAATAATATTATTTCTTTGGGTATTTCTGTGGGTAGAGGTGTTCCAGATTACCAACAACCAGCATTTAAATGAACTTTTGGAACAGAATGTTTTGGTGATTTAATACTAACTAACTGACATTTGGTGAGGTGTGATAGAAAGAATACTAGCTTTGTAGTCAGGAGGTACATGTCCAAATCTTGGCTTTGCTGCTGATTTAACTATGTGACCTTGGGCAAGTCTCATCTCTTCCAGATTGAAATCCTGTGATCCAAGTCCTGTACTCCTTTTGATATTTGTTTCCTTGTCTGCAAAATGAGAGGTTATATCATATGACCTCTAAGGTCCCTTTCAGCTCTTTATTTTATAAATACTTTTGATGCTGTCTTTGGAGAACAGTTTCTTTAGATAAATTGAATTTATAGCTAGTTCCTCTCCAAATAAATCCTCCCTCATTACTGTCATCTTCCTCCTAAAAAAAAGTTAAAAAAACACAACAACATTTTGGCATCAAAACTTACAGTAATATCAAAACTTAACAGTAACATGAACAATATAATTAAGCTTTGAGCTTGAAATCCCAAACCTTAAAGTACGTTGTATATGCTCAGGGCTGATCTCTGGGGAGAAATTGTTGGTTCAGCGTTGACTGCTGGCTTTTGGTACACATTCATTTTATTTCTCCTCAATTCAGTCTGCTAGGAAGTGAGAAATAGCAAGGGGTATGATATGATGAGAGAGATAGTAAGGGATGAAGCGTTGTTATTAGTAGTTTTCATTGGAAATTGTTTTTTCACTCATTAAAATGTCTTGCTTTATTCTTGTCTGAATGTCAAAGTCAACAAGTAAAAATGGCAGTTAAAAAATCCAGCAAGCAGACTCAATGACTTCCAGGAGAAAGAAAAATGGCAGGGGTGTAGGTGTGGAGGGAGAGAACAATGGCTATCAATGGAATAAAAGTGTTGACTATATTAACCAGGCTTACCTGGAAAAGGTTGTGGGAAAAAAATTCTGAACAGGAGAGAAAGGAAAGAGATGGACTGTATATTTTGAATTTCAACTATGTGGGAAAAGACAAATTAATTAGTTATCCAAAAGTAGACCCTTTCCTTAGAAAAGCAGATATTCATCTTGAGACTTGGATTATGATCTGGGACCAAGATACTTAAGAGATCTGTTCCTTTCTTGACCATTGATTCATTTCATCAGCAAGCTGATTAATTTGTCCCCATGGCTTTACCAGGAAATAACAAGTTGTATTGTAGAATGCAATGCAGGAGGCTATTAAACTTAATTGTAAAATAATCATGCAAAAATTGAAATGTAAATTTGTATTGCTGCCTGCCACAATCATAAGACACTCATGCAGTCCTTTAAATTTTATGAAAGGCTTTTCTCGATTATCTTCCATTTAGTTTTCTTTCTAGTCTATACATAGTTAACTTTTTTACTTATGTTTTGGGGGCTGTAGCTGTCCTGAATCTCATTCTATATTTGCACATAAACTAAATTATTGTAGAAAATGGGAAATTGAGAGTTTTTTCCCTTTGAAACATTTTTTATCTTTAGATTGGATGCATTCTAGCAAACTATAGGAGTTTCAAAGACATCTAACTAAGGACTAGAACATAATTCAAATATTCTGAGGATCCATTCCCATGGCCATCCCTGGCAAGTCTAAGAAACAGGCAGGAAGGAAGGAAGTATAAAACTGAGCAGGAGAGGAAAGAGAGCTGGAGAAAAAGAATGTATAAAACACATAATTTGAAAGATTTGCTTATAATAATAATAGCTAACATTTATAGAGCACTTTGAGGTTTGTGAAGTATTTTATACATATTATTTCATTTGATAGCAGATAGATGAAAAGGAACACATGGTTTATTAAAAAGAACATAGGCCTAGATTTCAGAAGACCTGGAACCGATCTGCTATTACTAGCTGAGCAGTGTGACATTGGCCAAATCACTTAGTTCCTTTGGACCTCAGTTTTCCCAAGTGTAAAATGATCTGGATGATCCCAAAGGTTCTTTATGGCATTGAAATCCTAGGTGATTCCTGTGAGTATCAACAATAATGGTCATGGTGGTGCTATCAGTTGCCTCACTTCAGCTCCTTGTGTCTCTGTTGATTTGTCTTAGACATAAGCCAGATGGTACATTATGTTTGAACCAAGTTTGGGTTTTTTTTTTCTGAGTTTGAATGAGCTGAGCTTAAGCTTGTTTATAACTCTGTTATTTTTATTGAATGTCTTAAAAGCTAAATGGAGTTTTGCTTAAGATCAGATATGTCTCTGGCTTTCCTGATGGCATATGAATAGTTCACCCCTTGCTAGTGTCAAATTTCATATGTTTGGGACATACAATGGTCTTCTTGATTTTTATCAATTATAATTGCTGCTATTTTTTTTTATTTCTTGGTACTTCTGGTTTTTAAAGGAGATGCCAGTATTTTCAGGCTAAGTGAAGAACAAAAAATAGTGGAAAAGTGCATTGATTTTGTTGTTTTTAAGTCATGTCTGACTTTTCATGACCTCATTTGAGGTTTCCTTGGCAAAGATACCGGAGTAATTTGCCATTTTCTTCTCCTGCTCATTTTATACATGAGGAAACTGAGGCTAACAGGGTAAATGTGATTTACCCAGCGTCACACAGCTAGTCAGTGTCTGAGGCTGGACTTGAACTCATGAAGATGAATCTTCCTAATTCCAAGCCTAGTACACTATCCACTGAACCATCTAAACTTCCCCTTCCATTGATTACCCCCATTCAAGAGTAGTTGCCTTTGTTACTTAAGAACCCTTCTTGATACAATCAGTCAGAAAGAACCAGGTGTCAATGAGGCCTGGCCACCTTCTGATATCCATCAAAAA